GCCTCCTTCTGGACATTTGTTCGATGGCTGGATGTTCATGAACCCCTCTCCTCGAGCCGTCTGCACGAGATTCAGGTCTGGAACTTCGTGCAATACCTTAAGAGGACTGAGGCGCCTGCTTCTAAGGCAGCTGCAGTGCTGAGTGCTTTCAGGTTTGCTCATTTCGTGCTGGGGTTTAAAGTCGAGAGCGTCATCGAGTCCAAGAGGATTAAGGGGGCCACCGAGCAGCAGCTTGTGAGCCTACGGAAGCTTCGCCAGGCGAAGGACCTTACGGTTGCACAGGTGCTTGAGTTGCATGCGCGGCTGGAGTCCGGTGCTTTGCATGCCTTCGACAGGGCATTCCTTGCGTCTCTGCTGATTAGACTGTATGCAAGGGCAAGGCCGAGTGACCTCCTCTTCATCGAGTCTGTGGAGGTAGACTGCCCTGCAGGCGCTGAGTACCCGCTGCTTGTTTTCGAGGTCTCCCAGCATAAAGGTGCCCGGAAGGTTCAGCTGAAATCTAGGTTGCTGCCAATCCTGGTGCCCATGATAGGTGTGAATGGCAAGTGCTGGGCTGGTGAAGCCATCAGAGCCTTCGCTGATGCAGGGAGGAGTTTGGCCTCGATTCGAGGTCCGCTGACTCTCGCGCCCTCGGATGAGTCGGGCACTGTTCACTCGAGGAGGTCGGTGTCGTCTGCAGAAGTAGGCCGTGCCCTTCGGGCTTTCCTGGGTGTGCCTGAGGAAAACCTTGACCCAGCCGTGCCCAGGGTTACTGCCTATTCCTTGCGAGGGACTTGCTTGGGCTGGGGTGGCAAATTCGGTTTTGATGAGGACTTGAAAAGTGTCTTGGGGCGCCACTCTTCTTCGATCAAGACGACGCAGGCTATCTATAGCCGAGAGCTTGCAGCAGCTCCGGCACGGAAGCTGCAGGATATGATTCGTGAGATTGCTGAGGGCAGGTTCTTTCCAGATAACAGCCGCTCAAGCTACTTCCCGAGCCAGGCGAGACTTAAGACCCCTCCCGCGCGAGAGCATGTCGGTAAGGCAGGCCTTAAGCATCCGCCTGTCAAGATAGAGATTTCGAGCAGCGACGAGTCTTTGCCTGGTGAGCAGGAATCGTCGGAGAGTGAGTCGACGGGGTCGACCTCTTCCTCGTCAGACGGTGGGGAGGCACCACCCGTGGTCAAGCGGTGGAGACGTGCCAAGGTGGAAGCTTCGGATCAGGTGTGGTATGTCCACACCGTCAGTGGGATGCTGCATCTCGTTGCAAGCCCTGAAGATGTTCCAATGATGCTCGCATGTGGGCGGCCTGTAAATGCGAATTACAGGAAAGCTACGAAGGATGAGGTTTGCAAGGGAGCAGAATGCCGGACTTGCCGGCGAAATGTATAAGGTGTGTGCGAAGTGCACACCCGACGATCGCATCGAGGGAATGCGTGCCGATAAAATGAAATCGGCGAGCGAAGTGCTCAGAGTGATGTGCTCAGATGTTTCTTGAAGTGTCGCTTGAATCTGCATGTGAGCTGGCTTTGTGAATGAGCTGTTACCGCTGCTAGCTGCCAGGGCTCAACATGTCGTCCCTGTAGAGAGTGCTCACCACTTCAAGTTGCGATGCACCGAGGTGGGTCTGAGCCGCGAGACCCTCAGAGCCTTCGCTGATCATGGCATCGATACATTGAGCAAGCTTGCTTACTCGTGCGGGCAGCCAGGGACCCCTCTTCCCCAGACTGAGTTTGATGATTTCGTTGCATCGTTGATCCCGGCTGCCTTGCTGGGGGAGAAGGGAAGTGTCAAGCGGCTGCTGTTCGAAAGCCAGGCCCTGCTGCTGAATGATTTGCGAGAGCAGGTTACGCAGCCTGACAAGTGGTCGACAAAAGATGTTCCCATTGTTGAGCGTCAGAAAAGGATGGAGGCTGTGAAGGCCAGCATACCAGGGGTGGTCGTCGAAGGACCGCTTGAGCCCTCTCATGGGCTCTTGAATGCAGCCTGCAGGATGGAGCGCGAGGGGCAGCTTCGCTACATTGCTCCGGAGCAGTGTGGCATCTGGATGTACGAAATTCAAAACGTAAAGGCTCAGAGCAAAGAC